TTTTTCTTAATGTTTCAGTTATAGCCAAAACATTATGTCAATAAACAGCCTGGTTGCTCTTGAAAACATTGCACTTTTCTGCTTTAAGAATTAGTATTGTACTCATACCCAAGAGCATAATTAAGAAATATCTTGCAAAATATAATTTAGTAATCAAATATTATTAAATTCTTTGTCAAAATTATGTGATTTGTACATATTTGCAATTATTACACAAATCAGTGTCTCTAAACACTAAAGGAAACACAGACATACATTTTATCTTATAATCATTATAAATATAATAACACATACAAACAGAACATAAATATAATAGAAATAGTGTAACATATAAATATAAATTAAATTAAGCATATAGATGCATATTGGCATACTTATCTGAAAAACACCTGAAACGTATAAGCTACCTATCTGTTGATTATGATTTATTTTTCAGATCTATTCTCTTTAATATAAATGATGGATGGAAGAAAATATAATTTGAATCCATCTGATTTTCCTGTTTATGACCTGATCTATTTCACTTATTTATTTATTTATTCAGTACATATCTGTTATCCCTCTATCATATGCTAGAACAGAGGAAAGAATGATGAATTGGGCCTTCTCTACAAGGCCTTTTTATTTTAGAGTGAGGCAGCATGCCAGGGCTCAGCACTGGTCATTATAGGGTTACACAGAAAACGTTACCTAATCTAGACAGTAGAAGAGAATACAGAGAACAATTGACAAGTGTCTGAATGTATGAACAAAATTTTATCTGTCAAACAGAAAAGGAAGAGCAATACAGACAAAAGAATTGGGAAAACTCATTCCATAAAGGGAGGAGATAAGTAGGAATCTGCTGAAAAGTCCAAGCCTTTGAATTTGTTCAGATTTGACCTTACAGAACACTTGCAGTGATGGTTTTTAGACAAGGCCATGGTTAGATTTCCATTAAACTGAGCACTTGCAGGCATTTTGTCCGGTGGAGTAGTAAAGACTAAAGGAAAGATGAGTACTTATATACAAGGCTCTTAACCAAGGATTCTTGGACCCCTCTAAAAGGTCTGTGGATAGAAGTTAGGAGGTTCTTGAACTTGATGGGGGAAATGTTACATTAGTTTGGGGTCTTACATTTAGATCTTTAATTCATGTTGATATATAGCATAAGAAAAAAATTTAATTTCAATTTTGTGCATGTGGCTATTTGGTTTTGTCAACACCATTTGCTAAAGTGACTTTCCTTTTTAAAATACTATTTATGCCAATCACTACTTCAAACCGCACTGATTATTAATTCCACTGTTAGAATACTTTATGTAATATAATAAAAAAGCATGTTACTATATTATAGACTTAATGTATGCTGACTGGTGAGTTTCAACATAATTTTTTTTCATTGTAATCCTTTATAAATTTATTAATTTTATGCATATTGATCTACAATATAAAACATTTATTTTGTGCCTATTAATTTAAGTATTATGAGAAAGTGACTATAGATTTCATCAGACTGCTACAAGGTCATGGACTCAAAAAATATTAAGAATTCAGAGATTGTTCCAATAACTCAGGCAACAGATGAAATCCTGAACTACAGCAATGGTAACTTAAAAGTATGTTTAATAAAGAAATAGGCAAATTCAGTATCATTTAGTGATTAAATAAATGCCAAGAACCAAAGATAAGATGAAATCAATGATGCCTAGTAAATTCTTAACTTGGGTGATTTGATTGTTTGGTGGTGTGTAGTTCTAGAACTCAATGTGGAAGCTGAATTTAACACCACAAGAACTGCCAATAATCAACCACTGGGAGAAGATAAATGAAGCAACTGACTCAAGATAAAGCCACAGTAAGTTCAGTTCAGTTCAGTCTCTCAGCGTGTCTGACTTTGTGACCCCATGGACTGCAGCACACCAGGCCTCCCTGTCCATCACCAACTCCCGGAGTTTACTGAATCTCAAGTCCATCTCGTCAGTGATGCCATCCAACTATCTCATCCTCTGTTGACCCTTCTCCTCCCACCTTGAATCTTTCCCAGCATCAGGGTCTTTTCAAATAAGTCAATTCTTCACATCAGGTGGCCAAAGAATTGGAGCTTCGGCTTCAGCATCAGTCCTTCCAGTGAATATGCAGGACTGATTTTCTCCAGGATTGACTGGCTGAACTTTCTTGTAGTCCATGGGATTCTCAAGAGTCTCATCAAACATCACAGTTCAAAAGCATCAATTCTTTGGCACTCAACTTTCTTTATAGTCCAACTCTTACATCCATACATGACTACTGGAAAAACCATAGCTTTGAGTAGACAGACCTTTGTTGGCTAAATAATGTCTCTGCTTTTTAATATGTTGTCTAGGTTAGTCATAGCTTTTCTTCCAAGGAGTAAGCGTCTTTTAATTTCATGGCTGCAATCACCATCTGGGGTGATTTTGGAGCCCAAAAAAATAAGGTCTGTCACTGCTTCCATTGTTTTCCCATCTATTTGCCATGAAGTGATGGGGCCAGATGCCATGATCTTAAGTTTTCTGAATGTTGAGTTTTAAGGCAAATTTTTCACTCTCCTCTTTCACTTTCATCAAGAGGCTCTTTAGTTTTTCGTTTTCTATCATAAGAATGGTGTCATCTGCTTATCTGAGGTTTTTGATATTTCCCGCAGCAATCTTGATTCCAGCTTGTGCTTCATCCAGCCCAGCGTTTCACATGGTATACTCTTCATATAAGTTAAATAAACAGGGTTACGACATACAGCCGTGACATACTCCTTTCCCCATTTGGAACTAGTCTGTTGTTCCATGTCCAGTTCTAACTGTTGCTTCTTGACCTGCATGTAGATTTCTTGGGAGGCAGGTGAGGTGGTCTAGTATTCCAACCTCTTTAAGAATTTTCCACAGATTGTTGTGATACACAGCATCAAAGGCTTTGGCATAGTCAATAAAGCAGAAATAGATGTTTTTCTGGAACTCTCTTCCTTTTCGATGATCCAACAGATGTTGGCAATTTGATGTCTGGTTCCTCTGCCTTTTCTAAATACAGCTTGAACATCTGGAATTTCAAAGTTCATGTACTGTTGAAGCCTGGCTTGGAGAATTTTGAACATTACTTTGCTAGCATGTGGGATGAGAGCAATTGTGTGGTAGTTTGATCATTCTTTGGCATTGTCTTTCTTTGGAGGAATGAAAACTGACCTTTTCCAGTCCTGTGGTCACTGCTGAGTTTTCCAAATTTGCTGGCATATTGAGTGCAGCACTTTCACAGCATCATCTTTTAGGATTTGAAATAGTTCAACTGGAATTCCATCACTTCCACTACCTTTGTTCATAGTGATGCTGCTTTAGGCCCACTTGACTTAGACCAGCTATTGATTACTATCAGCTATGGTGTCATGCACTATGTATAATGTGTCAGCAAATAGAACATTATGTAAAAAATAATGTCATTAAGCAATTGGTAGTTAATCTATAAAGAATCATTGATGTGAATCTACTCTATATTTACAGTTTTTGTACCAGCAATCATTTGCACTCAAAAGCAAACACAGCTCATGTTGCTTGGTTATAGGCACCAATATTCAAATTTGTCTTGAAAAGAATAACAAAAAGAGATGCTGTCTATGAAAGTGATGCAAATCCCTGCTCTACATCCTGTAAGGCTGGTGATGACAATACCTCTTCCTTCTGTCTTGGGCTTCATCCTTGCTTGATCTTACTCATTCATTAGAGGTCAGTACCGATAAGCTGAAATTCAGTAGGCCTTTCCTCTTACCCAAACATTATGATTTTCCCCTTTCATATAAATCGTACTATAATAAGGGCAGACTGAAACCTGAAGCCATTTCTGAAGCACATCATTTGCTTTGTTAGTATGAACAGATTCAATTTTTCATTCACATGTAATTTTACAAGGTATGCAACTTGAATACTGTTGAACAAAGATAATATCTTATATAAATTTCTGCTCAAAGGTGACAAGCAGATTATGTTACTTTATTTTTTTCTAAAAAATTTTAGCCATTTATTAGAAACACAGCTGTCAGTTTAGATCAAATATATTCATATTTCCCTGTTATATTATTAGGACCATCAAGAAATTTAATTGTCCCTTGCAGTTTGATTTCCTACAAAAGTGTTATAACACAATTAGCACTATTGCAAATAATTATTGAACTGTGTGAAAATACTTATGATTTCATATGAGATACACATAATAATAGATAAGAAATATAAAACTCAAGTTAACACTTGATAAAGATTCTGCTCTCATACAAATGTCAGTAATAATAAATGTAGGGACAATATAGTCTGCTTTATGAAAGTGAAACGGAATCCAGGCAGAATAATTTCCAAAGGTGTTAATGATAGCTCAAATATTACTTGTTTATCATTTAATCATATTAAATACTCTGAATCTAATAAATTATCTGTGATAGAAACACTAAAAACTTTTAAGAATGGGAAATCGGTTGGTTTATTAGGCTAATGACTAAAATCAGAATATAATGAAATTCTTCTGCACGAAATATATATTTCTCCACTCGTTTTATAGTGTTTAGAATTGTCATAAGGTATTACCATGCAGGTTTTGTGGGTAAATGAAGGCTTAGAAATTCTAAAATGTTCACTGGTTTCTATTTTTTAACTAAAAATTACACTAAGTAGGAAAGTACATTTTTGCCCTACTACCATTTTCTCAGTGGTATAACAGTCACAAAGATTTGAAGCAGCAATTATACACCAGCCTTAAGTTTATAGACAAAAGGCCACAGGCTTAGACCTTAGAAATATGGTAACATGATTTAGGATGAACAGAAGGGATCCAGTTAAGAAAATGAGAATTTGTAAAGGAGTATGATTCTAAAAAGAGCTTAGTAGACAGTAAAAAGCTTGTTCTATTATATAGAACGGGATGCAGCCAAAATTCAAATATTGGTTAGGACATAATAAACATAAGCCATTTTTGTGAAAACAAGAGGTAGGAGAACCTTTTGAGACATTAAAAAGGATAATGCTACTCACATCCTGAGCTACCATTTGTCGACACCAGGGTCAGGTTGGAAGGCCATGGATTCCGAACAATATCTTGCCAATGAATAGTGTCTGTATAACAAAGAAATTTGTTCTGGTCTACATAGACGCCGCCATTTAGGATTTCTGTGTTAAAACAAACAAACATAGATTTGTTGTCAACCATTTTGATGATGAAAGGTAGTCAATCAAAATAATTTACTCTTAAGCTATCTTCAGGGTTAAATTACTTTGTTAATAGTCAAGATTTCTTATAAAATACCTTTTTCCTGAGTCATATAGGTTGCAGAAAATTGAAAACATTGAACAATACAAAGCAAAATAGTCACTCATAATTCAAACACTCAGAAACACTCTTCACAGTTTGGAACAGATGCTATCAGTCTCTTTTCTATTTTATTTCCTCTGAAATTGGAATAATATTGCATATATATTTCATAACCTGATAATTTTGTTAATACTAAATGGTGAATACTCAAAGGTAATTAAATATTATTCTGTGTTATTTCTAAGGAGAATATGATATGCCAGGGTATAACTTAAACAGTATTTAACCAATCACCCCTTGTTGGTAATTTAACTTGTTTATCTTTGATTAGCTCTTTAAATTTTTTTCCTATAAATAACATTCACAGATTGTGAATATTTTAAAGGCTTTCTGCAAATTGCCAAATTTCCCTTAAAAATACTGTTTCAGTCAATGTGACATTGACTGGAGTCAGTTAGGTAAGCAATTAGCACAAAATGGAAGGTAAATTTAATGCTTCAATCACAAAAGTGTTCTTTATTCATCTCAAATGCAGTCAGTAGAACTGCCAATTATTCTTTAAGAACAACACAAAGCAAGATATCATAGATATTCTCTGGTTCACTGCAACAGGACATGACTATGTGATACAATGCACCAAAACCAATTTTTACTTGATTCTTATTTTACGACACTGGCCTTAATCAGCTAACTTGTCCCCTCTGAACAGTGGCTGATTATATACATAGATTCTTGTACAGAGAGCTTTACATTATCCAGAAAAAAAGGTAGATATTCCCTCTGAAAATACTACTCTTATCATTTTGAGAAATTGATTAGAAATACATATAGCATCTTCCTACTCAATATATACTACATTTTTTCTTCCTGTCAATATAAAAACAAGAGAAATCATATAACAGTCCATAAAGCAGTCAGATACAAAAAACAAAATTCAATTAACAGTGATTTATATAGATAAGGGATGATTTTTTTTTCACATGATAAGAAACTTATCAGAGGCAGTTGTGGATATTAGTTTAGCTACTCTGCAGTACCCACAACCTACTATGTATGTTGGCTTTATTCATTCCAGGCAAAAGATGACTGCTGCATCTAAAGATGTTTGAATTCAAGGCAAGATAAAAACAAAAGAATGAGCAGGTGGCTTTTGATTTGAAAAGGGATGTTTCCCCAAGGATTAATCTGCATTTTATTGGCCAGAACAATATCCTAGGCTAAGCGAGAAATTCTTAAGGTGGACATATTGCTATGCGAACAAAACCCAAAATGTGAAGGGGTGTTAGCAAGGAAGGTGAGGGATGCGATGTCAGGATACCAACCAACTCTGTCTCCTGCGCTGACCTTAAGAAAGTCATCTCTGCTGTGCAGTGCATGTTGTCTCTCAGTTGTGTTGGACCCTCTGTGACCCTGTGATCAGGGTCCCCTGTCCATGGGGTTTTCAAGCAAGAATACTAGAGTGGGTTGCTATTTCCTTCTCCAGGGGATCTTTCTGACCTAGGGATCGAACACTTATCTCTTGTGTCTCCTGCATTTATCCGCTGAGCCATCAGGGAAGTCTTCCCCTGTGCAGTATTTCAAGCTAAACCTTTAAAGCAAGTGGAGACTGAGTGAAAGTGAAAGTCACTTAGTCGTGTCCAACTCTTTGCGACACCATGGACTATACAGTCCATACAGTCCATGGAATTCTCCAAGGCAGTATATGGAGTGGGTAGCCTTTCCCTTCTCCAGGGCATTTTCCCAACCCATGGATTGAACCCAGGTCTCTCACATTGCAGGTGGATTTTTTAGCAGCTGAGCCATAGGGAAGCACAAGAATACTGGAGAGGGTAGCCTATTCCTTCTCCAGGGGATCTTCCCGACCCAGGAATTGAACCGGGGTCTCCTGCATTACAGGTGGATTCTTTACCAACTAAACTATGAGGGAAGCCAAGAGTCCCCTTAAACCAATAAGGGGCATAAAAGAATGAAAGGAACATGTAACACCATAAAAAATGTACTTGTGGAAGTAAGATTGGAGGTCATATATAAAGTGCCTTACTACATTGCATATAATCTTCCAGATTAATTTTGACATTGCAGGATTGTCTACATTTAAAATCAATCCCATTTCCATTATTAATTCTATTACTGACACCTGGATCCATTTTCTCAAGTGGGAGGGGGAAAAAAAAGAAACAAGGAAATTACATCATCTTTCTACTTCTACAACCAGTTCATTATTTTTCATGACCTAACCATACAATCTTCATCAAAGCAAGAAGGGAGATGTAAGAGGTAAGAAAGATTGTGAAAATGGATTTCTGCATTAATGTTTGGCATTAAGTTTCTATCTAAGAAATGTGAGGATCTCATACTAATAGCTTTCTCATGAGACATTAGGTGATGCTCTTCTGCTCTAGGAATAATTCTTCATTAGGTGACAAAGAAAGGAGATTTTGACTGCTATCCAGGAAACAAAGGTTATTTTTCAGTCTAGATTTGGAAAAGTTCTACTTTAAAAAAATGTGAATAGAAAATGTAACAGCTCAAACATTGTAGAAAGAGTATATTTTTCAGGAGTCACATTTTAATTCAAATAGTTCATACTGAAGGAATACAGCATCCATCTACAACTTCCTATCTAGAAATATTCAAAAGAATCAGATTATATTATGCTGAATAATAATCGCATCAAATCCCTTTCTTCAACAAAATTAATCTGCTACCAATGTCAACATTTATTTCTTAGAAATACTCTCTTCAAGAGCTTGGCTTATACGTGGAAAAGGATTTAAAAAAGAGGCAATAATAATTCAAGTATAATCTTACATGTTCAAATTTTAAATTAAGACTATAATCATGATCGATCTGGATGATATTTTTATCATTTTGAATTCAAAACTCAGCATCTGCTAGCAATTACTAGTCAGGAGGATTTATAACATTTTAGTACTTAATAATAGATAGCTTATTCATGCATGTGTATATTTTCCCTGAAAATAGTCTTTTTTCCCCCTCTTTATGTTTGGCTTAGACCATAATCTGCCTTTGAATGCCATAATTTCACAATCAGAAAGTGTGTATTGTATTGAAATTTATAGAAGAGTTTTGTGTCCACTTCATCTTATATTTTCTTTTGATTAACTTGATTACCTAAATATGCATCAGGAAATAATGTCAAATTGAATTTACTCATTTATATCATTTACATTTATTTCATAACTTTATACAGTGTTAGTGTTAGACTATTAATTAATATGTTATATGTGGATATATTGTTAGATTTATTGCTGGACTAAGAAAATTCTAGGGAAAGGTATTAACCTGCAAGAAAGTTGCTAAAAGACACAGATTATTTACCAGACAAAAGGGATAGCTAAAGTTTCTACCTTCATTGACCATGAAAGAACATGAAAAGAAGTCTCTCAGTCATGCCTAACTCTTCGCGACCCCATAACTGTAGCCTACCAGGCTCCTCCATCCATGGGATTTTCCAGGCAAGAGTACTGCAGTGGGCTGACATTTCCTTCTCCAGGAGATCTTCCCCACCCAGAGACTGAACCCGGGTCTCCTGCATTGTAGGCAGACACTTTACCATCTGAGCCACTAGGAAAGGCCATAAAGTCATTGACCATAAAAGATTTTCTAAAATTATCTGTTTAGATTAGAAAAAAAGGGACAAAGATTAGAAAAAGAGAAAATCTTGTTAAGATATTTATCTAAGATGATTCCAGAAAAATGTCTGGCTATACCTTTGCTAACAGCTTGTGTCAAATTTGTTATACCAAGAGTTTCTAGTCCACTAGCAGCATGAAATTGTGATTAATAATTATATTTTAAAATCATGACACAAGACAATTTCAAAGGAATCTAGGCAAATGAGGCACAAATTTAATTGAAATTCAAAGATGCCTGGAAGTATAGAAGGACTCAAAAAAATGTTGAATAATTAAATGAGTTCAAGGTACACTAATCTCATTCCATTTAACTTCACTTTCCCTGCAGGAAATACATCAGAGTAAATAAAGACAGACACAAATAGATTCTTGGTCACTGAAACAATTGGTAGGAAAAAAAATCTGCTATCTATTTGTCTTATCATATTATTTAAAAATATTTCCAGCAAGTTTACAGAACAAAACTGTCTTGTATAATAATGCCATTGATGCTTTTGAACTGTAGTGTTGGAGAAGACTCTTGAGAGTCCCTTGGACTGCAAGGAGACCCAATCAGTCCATCCTAAAAGAGATCAGTCCTGGGTGTTCATTGGAAGGACTGATGCTGAAGCTGAAACTCCAATACTTTAGCCACCTCATGTGAAGAGTTGACTCATTGGAAAAGACCCTGATGCTGGGAGGGATTGGCGGCAGGAGGAGAAGGGGACAACAGCGGATGAGATGGCTGGATGGCATCACTGACTCAATGGACATGAGTTTGAGTAAACTCCGGGAGTTGGTGATGGACAGGGAGGCCTGGTGTGCTGCAGTCCATGGGGTCACAGAGAGTCAGACATGACTGAGTGCCTGAACTGAACTGAGGTCATTTTTACTGGTTCCCACATTTCATTAAGCCAGGAGTCATTTCTGTTTTGTTCAAAACTGTAGGTACAAGCCAGATGCACTATAAAAGTTTGCTTCATTAAAAAAATATAATATTTTGAGTATAAAAATATATATTATATATATAATTTTGAGGTTAGAGTTTTTATAATTTGAATTAGAAAGAGCTTTCTTTATATAAGCTGTTAATTGATAATGTGCAAAATTACTACAGGTAGAATGTTTAATATTTATAAGGTATACTAGGAAATTTTCCTTTTTTTTTCCATTTATTTTTATTAGTTGGAGGTTAATTACTTTACAATATTGTAGTGGTT